ATTTCTGTCTTTTCAGGAGCCCTTAGGACTGTACAAGTAGAGTCCAAAAAGCATGAGGCGTTACAGCAACAGAATAGACTAATGAGATTTGGTTTACTTCTTACTGAGGTTTACTGCAGGCCTGATTTCAGTCAGTGGGAGGGTGTACCTCACTGGTTTTACTACCTCCTTGTCTCATTAATTCCTTCGAACAGTGCTAGGTGTAATAGTGATTAGTCCCACTGACATCATGGGATTACTCAACATATAAGCATTGGTTTTAGTGGTGCTGGGAGCATCCTTTTAAAGTGCCTTAAGCAGGTGATGGTCATCTTACCCTTTCACAGCACTGAGCACACATTTAGGGCTGTATTCAGAAGAAGTTTGTGGATGTCATAGAATCACAGAATCATTAAGGTTGGGAAAGACCTTTAAGATCATCAAGTCCAACCATGAACCCAACACCCCCATGCCAACTAAACCATGTCCTGAAGTGCCATGTCTACACGTCTCTTGAACACCTCCAGTGATGGTGACTCCATGTCCTGGTCAATAAAGTACCTCTAGAGTCACTGGAGCACTAGCTGGAGACCTACAAAAGGCACGGAGTAGGGAGCTAACTGGAAGATTCTCAGAAGGCACAGAGATTTGGGTAGGAATTCTTGACATATGACAGGTGATAATATGGTGATACATGACAGTCATGATTTAGTTTGTAGTGAAAGGCGTACTTGTGGTGACAACATAATTTAGAATGATGTAATTGAGCTTAGGCAGCACAAGTCTAGTCAGAGGTTTTTAAGTGTACTTTTAGAACTGCTAGATGGACAGCACATTCTTTTCTGAACATGTGTGATACTTTTTATAAAAATGAGGAAACCATTTATCTCTCTCGTTTGAAATGTCATTACCTAGGCAGAAGTTGTCTGAGGCTGCCTTGATTACAGTATGTGTTGTTCTTAAGGTACAGCTTTTGAATAATGTAGCAATTAATATATACTGCAAGTTCCTGGATTTTGTTGGTCTCTTAGAGACCAAGGAGGCCTAAGGATGCCATCTTTTAATATTGTCATGGTTTAACCCCAGCCAGCAACTAAGCTTCCCCCAACTGCTTGCTCACTGCCACCACGGTGGGACGGGGGAGAGAAATCAGAACAGTAAAAGTGAGAAAACTCGTGGTTGAGATAAAGACAGTGTAACAGGTAAAGCAAAAACCGCGCATACAAGCAGAGCAAAACCAGGAATCCATTCCCCGCTCCCCGCGGGCAGGCAGGGGCTCGGCCGTCTCCAGGGAAGCACCATCACACGTAATGGTGACTTGGGAAGACAAATGCTATGACATTCAACATCCCCCCAGTTTATATACTGAGCAGGACGTTGTATGGTGTGGCCAGTGTGGGTCAGCTGTCCTGGCTGCGTCACCTCCCAGCTTCTCGCTGGAGGGCATCGGAAGCTGAAAAGTCCCTGACTAGTGTAAGCACTACTCAGCAACAACTAAAAAATCCGTGTGTTATCAACATTATTCTCATAGCAAATCCAAAACACAGCACTATACCAGCTACCAGGAGGAAAATTGACTCTATCCCAGCAGAAACCAGGACAAATATTTTAGTACTCTCTTAAGGCTTTCATTGGGAATGATCCCATTATTTTGAACACTCTTGCGATGCAGCAGGTTGCCATGGCTGTCAGTGAGAGTTAAGATTGCAGTTATTCTTTCTAATGATGAGAACTTGAAAGATGACAGATGGATATGAGTTTCACCAAGCACTTGTACATTGCTCTGGCTTTGTCTTTCTGGATCATGTTCACTTATTTGGGTTGGTATCCAAATAACGTTTGCACATACCATATGTTTAGCACATCAGCGAGGAGTGTTGCTTTTCACATACTGAGCTTGGTTATGAGTGTTTTAGCATACGGAAGAGGTGCCCACAGGTGATGGTGAAGGGCTTTGCATACGGGAACTTTGTAGCCTCCTCATGCAGTAAAAACAGTACTCCTTATTAGAGATGTTCATAGCCAGGAAACTTCTACTTGTTAGCCATGGTATTTGGGCCTTCCCTTGGACCATTTCACAATATTTCCTTTTGTCAAATTTGTTCTCAAACTGTTCTCAAGTTACAGTGGGGTGGAAGACATGTATGGCTGTGGGAGGGCGATTCTTTTATTTCTAAAAACCATTTGTCTTTGGTTTGATTGAGGACCTCCATGATTAATGTTGCATATTATTTAGCTTTCTTAAGTGGATATGAAATCCATATAAATCTATAAGGAGAGTCATTGAAAAAGTGCATGTCAACAGATGCAGAAAATAAATGAATGTAGTAAATGCTTTCTGTCTGTTTACAGAAGGTGGTCTTTTGACACTGCAGTGCATTTTGCAGTGTCTGTCTGCAATTAATAAGCACAAATCACATTGTACCATCATATGCAAATATGATTGATGATACTTTAAAAAAGGAGATAAAGTAATATCACCTAGTTCACCTGCTATGTCACTTCTGCCTTGTTATTTTAATTATTTTCTGGGCGTTTCTTTTTCCAATACTGAAACCTAAAGAACTGAAATAAATATGAATTGCTTAAGTTTCCTACCACCTTTTACGTTTATGAAGTAGGAAGACATTGAGATGTGTGATATATCCATCTCTGACGCCAAATGAATTAATCATTTTTCAAGTTTAATGGGGAAGATTCAGCGGTATAGTGTTTTCTTGACAAGGTAAACATCAACTCTAGCTGTAATTCACAATGTGTTTAAAACAATTATTCTATATCATTAAAGTTAATAATATGCACATTAACCTCTGATGTAGTCTGAATCAATACTGCAGTTTGGGAGATGTGACCCCTGGACAGCTTTGTCTAAATATTGATTTCATTGTCATTTGTATAAGGTATGAAACAAATTACATGCCTCCCTAATATCATTAATGTAGCCCCATTGAGCTACTGAATTTATGGCTTCTTATAATGCATGACAAAGCATTACGGAATTATTGAAGACATTGTGAAATACAATTCCTTAGTGTGCTAGATTTGATTGTGGAAGGCCAATGCCAACACTCAATAACTTTCAAACACTTTGCTGTTCAGAGAAAACCCAGAGAGAAGAAGAAACCACTCTGTAGTGTACAACTCAGTTGTTAATTTCCAGCCAACAAAGTTCCCTTGGGTTCCAGGAGCAGTAATTTATTCTACAGCTTTCTATTTGTATATTTGTAGCCTTACACGAATATAATGCATATGCTTGTATTCTCTGCCAAAGGCAAAGGTGGTTCTCTTCAATTAGTGTAGGAATTCAAAATAGGTAGGAGGGATAGCATTTCTCTGTCTTGGCCAGCATTTATAGTAGTTGTCATTAGTGTCATAATTTAAAATGTGAGTTAAATAATTTACTCCATGCTGTGATTTCTTCCCTTTATTGCCTCTTTATTGCAACTGTCTTCTCACCATGCCCCTCATGTTTTTGTTACTGCTCCTTCCATCATAGCTGTTCCTCAGATCTTCCACGCAAGACCTTCCAGGAAATTTCAGGGAGGTACTAATATTCCCTTCTTTTGCTTCTTTCCTCTTCAGAGAGCTCCCTTTTTTTACACAACCAAGCTGTTCTTAAGCATGAGGTTCAGGTGTCTACTTTCTTTCTTCTCCTTTCCAAATACAAACCTTGGCCTCATGGATATCTGAGAAGCAGCCTAGTATATACTAAGTTTCATGTCTTGCCCCTAAACTTTCAGTTGGGATGGTTTTTCTTGCTCTTTGCTTGGTGTCTAAGCACTGCCCACCTGCCGTCATTGGCTATAAGCTGCTTATTTCACATTCGAGGGAATGCGCAAACACACTCTCCCTATTCTTTCTCTTTAGATCTCTTTAGATTAAAAAAAAAATGCACTTCCATATCCAGTCTAGGATACTGCTGCCATTATCTACATATTACATTCTCAAGGAACATCTTCATACTTTCTCCTGTGGTGACTTTCATGCTGAGGGACCTTCTTTTAAATATATGCAAAGCTACTTCATTGTGCTTTAATGTGTACAAAAATCTCAACTGTGTTTGAGCTTCTGCTGTGCTGAAACTGCGGCCCATCATTCCAGCTGATACCGACTCACTGTTTAATTGTACTTGGCCATTTTCTCTGGTGTTAGACTTTTATCTGAGACTGTCTTTAACGCTTTTTGATTTTGGGAAGAGGATTTGTACAGCGTGAAACATGTAGGGCATAGTAATCTTTGGATAAGTGTCATAGGTGCTATGTTATTACCAATAATGTGGAATAATACATTTCATACATATCAAAATGTTCTAATTATGTTATCAGTACAGCCAGTGTAGGATTGGCACCTTTACAGTAAAGTTCTCTTAACTGTGTCAGAAGGGCGCTTGACAGTCTATATGGATACTTCTTT